ACCATTTACTTAGCTCATTGCTTTAAGAGCTGGATTATATGATGAGACAAGGCAAAAAAAAAAAAAAAATTGCGATACAAGTGAAGTGAGTGTGGCTAAAATTTAAAGGGCTCGTTTATTTGTTATGTTTAAATTTATAATTTTAATTTTATTATAATATTTTTTTATAAAAGAATTTTAAATTTTAATGTTAAAATTAAAAATTATTAAACTCATTAATTAAATGGACGAAAGAGACTACAGTTTTTAAAAGTGAAGCTTTGAGAAACATAGTTCTATTTATTAATTTGACATTATATTTAATTTGCTCATTATACTTCTTATAGAATTTTTTTGATGAGAAAATATTATTTACTAATTAAGTCAATAAGATTAAAATAGTCAGAAAACAACCGATGGTACATGCTTAACCTTCCAACAATCTGAGCCTCCTTCTGATTGCAAACGAAGTACAAATTCATCAAAGTTAACATATGGTAACATAACTTTGAGATTTTTAAGGGGTTATTTTTTTACAATAAAATTCAAAAAAAGTTTAAATTTGAGTTATAATTTTATTCAAGTTCATGTTCTTTTATAAAATTTGAGTTTGAATTTGAGTTTGAACTCGAGTTTGAAGTCGAGTTTGAGACTAAACTCGAGTTCAAGTTTCCCCTTCAACTCGAGTTTGAGGCTAAACTTGAGTTTAAGGGCTTGTTCTTTTGAGTGAAAAACTCAAAAAAATGCAACTCGAGTTACAACTTTATTCGAGTTCATGTTCTTTTAAGTTTAAACTCGAGTTCAAAAACTCGAGTTTAGGACTAAAACTCGAGTTCAAGTTTCCCCTTCAACTCGAGTTCAGAAACTCGAACTCAAATTAATGAACAATATTTTTTCTATTCTTAAAAATGCTATAACTTTTTCGTTTTAATTCTTATTGAGATGATTTTTTTTTCTGTGCGTTAACAATGAAAAGACGAATAAAACCCGACCTATATACCCTATTAAAATTTTTCATCAGCATTGAGTTTTTATTAAAATACTATATCTAAATAAAAATTTAAGTTTTGACTCACTCAAACACAAACTCAAAAAGATTTTTATCTCAAACCATAACTCAAATGTATACAACGAAACACAAACTCAAGTTACAAGTTCAACTCAAATTATAACTCAAATTCAACTCAAAAATTATACTCAAGTTAAACTCCAAAAGAACAAGCCCTAAGTTTCTCCTTTAACTCGAGTTTATAAACTCGAACTCAAGTTAATGAACAGTGTTTTTTCTGTTCTTAAAAATGTCATAACTTTTTCGTTTTAATTCTGATTGAGATGATTTTTTTCTATGCATTCACAACGAAAAGATGAATAAAACTACAAATATATCATATTAAAATTTATCATTATCATTGAGTTTTTATTAAGTGAACAACGGATTCAGAATCATTATTGATTTACGTGTATTTTTTATGAGAAAAAATACTATAGTAAGTCACCAATCATAATTCAAACTATGACACGAATTCTCTTATTAAACACCTTACTATGTAAATATAAATTTAAATTTTAACTCACTTAAATATAAACTCAAATAAATTCTCAATTTAAATCATAATTCAAATATACATATTTAAACACCAATTTAAATTATAATTTTAACTTAAATTATAATTTAAATTTAATTAAAAATTATCGTTAAAATCACTCCAACTTAAAAATGAAAAGGAACAACCCAAGGTTTTGGATGTAGAATGACAAGTCACTCTGGCCTGGTACAAGCCTACGCTCTCTTCTAACAAATTAGGCAATGCTCCTCTCTCTCTCTCTCCGCTCTTGCACGTGGACCCCTCTACTCTCTACCCTCTCTCTCTCTATTCAAAGGCGGGACCCACCACTCTCCCCACTCTTTCTCTCTTTCCCATGCAAACTTTCTCTCTCTCTCTACTAGAACAGGAAAAGAAGCCACGTGGCTTCTTTTGGGGGCAAAACGGACAAAATGTTTTGTCTGCCCCCAAAAAATGACACCCGTACATTGAGGGGGGCGTTTGGTAGATGAATTTATTCCCTGATTCGAATTATAATTTATAGTTCGTTATAATATTTTTTCTTATAAAAAATATACATAAATTAAAAATAGTTTGAATCACATAATTTGAATCCTCTAATTTTAAAATAGTAGGGTGCAAAGATTCTCTAACATCTTTGAAAAATGACACCGTATCATCCAAGCAATTCGAAAGTAAGAACACTCTTTTTCAAGTATGGATATAATAGTAGAAACCAAACATGGAAGTAAGGATTTTCCTTCTATTTGTGAATAACAAATTGAAGTTCTGTCCATATTCTTGTGTTATAATTGCTTTTTATAGTAATAACTAATAAAGTCTCATTTATTTAACCGATTTGAATTTAAAATTTAAGTTTTTTTACAATAAAAAGTTTTAAAAAATAATCATATTTAACTTTTTTGTTACAGTAAAAAATTTTTTCCATAATATCAAATCTCAATTAAAATCAACAAACTAAACAGGTTCTAAAAATTTTTAACTTATTAAAGACTCGTTTGGTAAAACTTTTGTTTTAGTTTTTGTCAATAGAAGAAGGTAAATAAAACTTGTGACTTTTCAATAAATTAATTGAGCCATGTGCTATACACAATAATTTTATAAGTTTGATTCTACATTAAAACACGTAGTCTTCTAAGAAGTTAAACCAGTTAATTAGAGTGAGAGAAAAAATTTAAAACTCATATCGACATAAAATTTAAATTATTAGGAGTTTTGGCCCCAAAAAAAAAAAAAACTTAAGTATGAGGACATTTAATAAGAATTATTTTAATTAAAATAAAGTGAGGAAAAGAATGTATTTTAAAGAAGAATATTGTAATTTACGGTAAAAAAGTGTAAATGAAAAAAGTCAATATTCAAACAAAAAGGAGACAAAAATAAAAAAAAGTTTTTAAAAAATAAAAAGATAAAGAAAAGGGAAAGTTAAACCTATTAAAAAAAATAAAGTTATATAAGAGTTTTTGATAAAAAAAAAGTAAGGGCATATTTCAAAGGATTATTTTAATTAAAAAAGTATTTTAAAGAATAATATTGTAAAAAAATTATCAAAGAATATTAACAAAAAATAAAAAAGACAGTAGGTAAAAATAAGATAAAAAAATTAAAAATTAAAAAAAGGAAAAAGATAATGAGAAGGAGAAGAATGAGGCCATCAGTGGCCTCCTAAGTATAAAGAAATAGGAAAGTTATAAAGAATCAAGAAAGGTAGATGCAGGGGCTACAATATGGCAATCTGGAAAAAAATTGCGTCAAGATAATTTTTGATATAAAAGAAATTACATGAAAAACAATTAAATACAAACACGTTTGAAGAAAATCATTTTAATATTGACAAAAAAATTAAATAAAAACACATACAAAAGAAATTACGTTCATTGGAGCAAAGTGAAATAAAAAAATTACATAAACAAAAAAAGTAAAAAAGAAAAAAATTTTAAAAGAAAAAATAATAAAGATGAAAATGTAAAGAAGGGGAAAAGGGAAGGAGGAGGAGAAGTCACGTGACACTTTAAGGAGAGAGCACTCTTTTATGTATTGTTGGATTAGATATTTGAAATCATACTTTTAAAAGAGTTTAATCAATTAAGATGGTTTACTAATATGCAATAAAAATATTAAATCAAAGTTTATAATGTCTTCTTTAAACTCATATACAAGTTTGAAAGTTTTTAAAAAGCTTTTATGAGAAGTCAAATTTTGTGACTTTAGTAGGAAGCTCTTATAGAGTGTCAAACAACTTATGACGACGAAGCATCATTATGGCCTCGTTCATTTCACCGATTCGAGTTTTTAATTTTAGGTTTCTACACTAAAAAGCTCTAAAAAAATATCACATATAACTTTTTCTGCTACAGTAAAAAGCTCTAAAAAAATGTCACATCTCAGCTCGAATTAAAAACTTGAATCCGCGAAATGAACGAGGCCATAATGATTACAAGAGCAGCTTTTGATTGTAGGAATTCAAACAGTTTCTAGAAAGCTCTGCCAAACAAGCCCTTAATCAAACATGTTCTAAAGCTTTTCTAAAATAAAAAGAGATAAAATCATTTTGACACTTTCTGTTATAGCGAAACATCTCACTGATACCTTGTGTTCTAAATAATATTAAAATGATACTTGTACGTTTTAAAAAAAAGGTTCTTTTGATACCTTGAGACTTATTTTTAGAGAGATACAATGTCTAAACTGCCCTTTTCAATAATTAAATAAAGACTAATAACTTTAAAAATATATTTTTTAAACATTTTATATTATTTTGATTATTTAATTATTAAATGTTTTATAGAATTTTCATAATGTTTTAAAAAATTATTAGTTTCTTGTTAATAGGTGGAAAGGTATAATGGACATTTTATGTCTAAAAAAATCAGTTTTAGTGCACCAAAAGGCTGTTATTTTAAAAAGTGAAAGTATCATTTTAATATTATTAAAAATACAAGATACCGGCGAGATGTTTTGCTGTAATAAAAGGTACTAAAGCTAATTTTGGGCTTGTTTGGCAGAGTTTTTAATTTTAGCCAGTAGAACAGAGAGAAGCAAAAGCTGTGGTTTTTCAGTAAGTGTTTCGAACAATGAGTTTAATGGGTCAAAATGATTTATAAATTTTCTAATAAGTAATAAAAATGTTAGAATTAAGTTTATAATACCTTAATTAAACTATGATACAAGTTTTAAAGTCTATTCAGAAGTGCTTTTTTAAAAGCCACAATTTTGATTTTGATTGAAAACTCTTTTAAAAAAATAAAGAACTTTTAATAAATCATCCAAACACTTTTAAAAACAACTTTTAGACTAAAAAATTCAAAAACATTTTTTAAAAAGTTCTCAAATAAAAAAGCTCTTTCCATGTCCTTTCTAACCATAAAACTTTTAATTTATACTTCTCTCTTATACTGCTTAAAAATAAAAGCAAAATCTTTAAAAGGATCTTTAAATTAAACTTTTTTTTTTTTTGTAAGAAAACAATTATAAAAAAGATAAAAAAAAAGAATTGACATGCTCTCTTTCCTTTAACAACTTGCACTAAAATACCAAAAAAAGAAAATCAGGTTCCTGGAATCATTTAGTGGACGTTTGATAGAGACTTTTAGTTCATGGATTAGAATCATGTGATTAGAACCATTCTCCTTTTACGTGTGCTTTTATGAGAGAAAAATACTGTAAAAAATAATGAATCATAATTTAGAATCAGAGACGAATATAAAAAATAAACATCTCTTTACTTTTTAGAAAAAAATACGATCGCTTTTGTTTTGTTTTGTTTTTTTGTTTTTTTAAGTAACACTCACTCGTCTTCATTCATTTATTTCAAGTGAGTTTTTCTATAGTCCGGTAAAAATAGGATTATTGATGTTTTCTTACTTATCAATTGACAAATTTGTAATAATATTTATTTATTTTACATATTTTTTAATCTAATTTAATTTTAATTAAATTTAACGGTTAAAAATTAAAATAATTAGTAAATAGTTTAGGAGAGACTCGGGTGAAACTCTCTTATATTAATTATTAAAAATTCAGTAATTCCATCTTAATAGTAATCTGCTTTAAAGCAATGGGCTAAGCAAATGGTATTTTGTACCAAAAACCGGAGGTTTCTCACAAACTGCTGCTAAAACTGCCTATACCTAGTTTTTTTATTTTTATATATATTTTTATATATATTTTTATATTTTTATATATATTTTTATATTTTTATTTTATTCCAAGCCTTATCTTTTCACACACACACACTCTCTCTCTCTCTCTCTAAAAGGACACACAGCCTCTTGACTTAACCCAACACAAATCAAAACCCAAGTAAACTTCCATTTCCTGCCTACTGAAACATACCAAATTCCCATTTCTTTTCATTTTCATTTCCAAAGCAAGAGAAAAAAAAAGCAAATATGAGTTCAACAAGCAAAGCTTGGATTGCGGCAGCAAGTATTGGAGTCGTAGAAGCTTTGAAAGATCAAGGCGTTTGTAGATGGAATTCTGTTTTGAGATCAATAAATCAACATGCAAAGGCCAATATCAGATCTTATTCACAAGCCAAGAAAATCCCAAGTGCTCAGTATTCTTCTGCGGTGGCTAAGAAGTTGAAAGATGAGAAATTGAAGCAATCTGAGGAGTCTCTTAGAACCGTCATGTACTTGAGTTGTTGGGGTCCCAATAATTAAATCCCCTGTTTTATTTATACTTTTTTTGTAATATATTTTTCAATATTTTAGTAAAATATATTGTTTTGATCATAGATTCATGTGTTATTATGGTTGATTAGCCTTATAATTATATTTCTTAACTCACTGTAGACAACAGTAAAATAAAAACTGAAAAAAAAAACACTTGAGAATGTTGAAAACCGTATACATATCAATTTGGCTGACTTTTCTGATTCAGTCTATAAAGCTCAGCCCAAGAGTCGGAAGAAACAAAAGAAAAAAAAAAAAAAGAAAGAATGGCGATTTTGGCATGTCCTGAACAGCCAGTTAATTGGTTGGACATGTCCGGTTAACCTGATATTGGAGTTCCAAATTCGAAGAATGGCGATTTTGGGAGCGACTTTTTAATAGTTTCCAATTTCGGAATTGTTACTGTTTTCTTGTTTCATTTTCCTTTAAAGTTAATTCTTTAATTTTAAAAAGAAAAAAAAAGAAAATAGACTATATTTGAGATGAATTAAAATTAATAAATTATATAAGTTAATAAATAAATTAAATTACTGTTTGTGTTTATAATTTATTTAATTATAAATTATAATTTAATAAATTATTATTTAGAATTATAACTGAAGTTTTGTTATTTTTATTATTTCACATTTTGTTTTTCCTCTTTCAAAAAGTGGGGATGACTAGCTAGTCTGTTCACTGTGATCATAAACTATTGAACAAAGCCAAGAAAGCATTAATGGTGAAAAATCTAAAAGCTATTTTCTAAGATTCTTGTTGTCGGATAAAGCTATCCAGCTATTTTCACCCATTAATTAATATGAATTAACTTGGTCATTTCCAAGTTATTAAAAAATATCTCTTTGCCTATGATCATGTTAGGAATTAAGATTCAGTATGAGTATTAATGGAGTATTACTTTAATCTTTAATCCTCCAATAAAAAATTTTTCACTGTGAAATTTGAGAACATTAATGGTGGAGAAGACGATTATGCTCCGATGATAAGAATTGTGTTTCAAATGTTGAATTAATTTGTTGATGGTCTGATTCGTAGTAGAAACAGTTTTGTGCTTTATAGATATATAGATATACACAAATCTAACCATAAAAAACTAATTTAATGGTTGAAAATAACAATTCCTACTGGTAGAGCAAAATTGCATTTCTCACCGCGTGATTCCCGTGAAATTTTCATTCAATTTAAAAGTAGGCGTGCTATTCTTTTTGTTCCTTTTGAGGGTACCAGTTTTTAGCTTATAATCTTTTTGCTGTAGTTTTCAGCTCCAACTAATGTAACATTTGCTTGTTTTCAAGAAATTCAATCTGTCATACTGATTAAAGAGGTAGTAGAACTGCATTTACCGTCAATGATTGCAAGTTAATTTTTTAATAAATTATCAACAAGCAGACTTTATGTGCGTGATGTTGTGTCTATAACTTGATTTGGGCCACTGAAATTCTCTGTTTAATATGTTTGTTCTGAATTTGAAATACAGGAAGAGCAAAACATGAGGAAGAAATGGTTAGTTTACCTCTTCTGTGGCAATTTTTGCCTTTTAAATTATATTCGGAAAAAATTTATCTTTCCATTGTAAATTTTGTTCCATTTTACTTAATAAGAATTGATTAATTTGCTTACATTTACTGGTACTCCGATCTTGTATTTTTGGTATATTTTACTAGTTGTCGTTTATGATGAAATTTTGATTTGAACTGAATTGCTGTCCATTATGTTGCTCCATTCAAAATTATCTTTTGTGAAGTTAGATTTTTACTTGTATCAAGATAAGGTTTTATCAGTGTCCTTTATGACGTCTTGCAAATCTATGTCGTCTTTAAAAATTATCAATAATTTGTTATTTAGTTTTTGTATCTGTTGCTTTCTGAATTGAATTTAGATGCAGAAGCGTGGGAGAAGCGGATCGTGTATAACAAAAATTTTTACAAAACTTTTGAGATACTCTATAAATTATATTAATTTATGCACGAAAAAATATAATCATATTAATTTATTTACCAAGAACCTGATTAGGAATTATACCTAGCAACCGATTAGGATGATAACTTGAGTTCTTTAACCTCGATCAATCCTCGCTCTAATGCTTTGTTTATGTGACGACCCTCCTCAGCGGCTGTCACTGTAACTGAATTTAACTTGTACTTACTGAAATTTCTTAAAACTTGCGGAACATTTTTTTTTGAGTCTTATAGTAGACATATGTTACGAATTGTTTTCTTGATTAAAATATTCAAACCTTAACATATATGTTTCTCAAAGTATATAGACATATCTATATGTATATACTTAATCTTTAAGTCTTGCTTACTTACAGCCATAATCCACAAAACCATTTAACATATAGTTTTAGAATCATAATTAGCAAAACTATTTATAACGTAAAACTGCTTGCGGAAATATTTACGAGTGGTATTCATTCCCCGATCTCCACATCGTTCGTCCATTCGGCATCAGTCCATCAAGAATTATGTGCAGGTTGCTTATCTACAGTATAAATATTCTATGATGAGCTTTCGCTCAACAAGTGGGAACTGTAATGACTGAGAAAATTTCAGACCTTAAATAATACAATTCATGTATTTTTAAGCCAAGGATTTTCTTAGAAAATATTATGTTATATTGTGAATGGAGGATTTATGGAATTAATATATGTATTCCTAAATTCTATAGCAAATTTCATGTTAAGTTCATGTTTCGATCAAGTAAATTCGATCGATAAATTCTCGCCGTATTTTAAGGCAGAATAATTTCAGTACAAGTATAGTTTGAGAATCTTAATTTCAAGAATCTCTAAGCACAGCACGATGCTAGCGGCATATAAAAAAAACGCACTGACATTTTAAAAGAAGAAAAAAATCCTTAATTGCCAAACAGTTAGGTTAAAGTCACAAGATAAATACCTATAGTAGATGGATACAATATGAGCTCGGGAGTTGACACTGTCAGAAACGTCATTCTCGGGATAGAATACAGAAAATTAAAATTTAGAATTTGTTCAGTCTAAAATTAATTTCAAGACTTGAAACAGTTTGAAATATTACGCGAGTAAGAATATAAAACAATATTGAATTATTCAGAAATTGATATTGGACTGTAAGTAGTAGATTAACTTACGTGAGCTAAACTAATTACCTCTAATCAGTATAAATTTAATCTGTTTAGAGGAAATAATTGAGGATAAGATCAGGCACGTAATCTTGCCTTAATCAGATACTTTATATAGTAAAATTTTTAGGGTTCTTGCACTTTCTTTCTCTTATTCTCGCTCATTCTCTCTCTCCTCTCACGTTCTCTCTCACACAAACCATCAATGGCCAAATACTCAAGTTAAGATTCCGACCTCCATTTTTGACACCACCGGTGTCAATAGAAAGAT